ATCTCTCCTCCTTCTTTCTTGTCTCTCAATCATCCATCGTCCTTATCTCTCCTCCTTCTTTCCTGTCTCTCAATCATCCATCGTCCTTATCTCTCCTCCTACCTCAATTCCTCTGTGTGTCACTCGCTAGTAACACCTCTAATCTTCAGCACATGGTTGACCTAGATCTTTTTGTGTTGAAAGTGCTGTAAAATTCTTACTTAAAATATAAAAAAGAGTTTTGCTGTATACAGAATAGGTATATTCATTTTTTATAGGAGCTATATATACGTTACTTTAACCAATATATGATCTTATACGGGAGGGGGGGGGGAGGAAAGGGGGTTGTATTTTACTTTTCACCTCTTAATGCCCTTATTTCACGGATGTTTGCTCTAAAAATAGCTGACCTTGACCTGTGTGAGTTATCACTCCAGTAGCGGCGGTGGTGCGGAGCAGGAGGAAGGGGAGTTCATCATGTCGCAGAAGAAATGTGTCATCCATTTTGTGCAGGCCTGGAGGGACATGGAGCCCGACAAGTTCTTCAGCTCGCCCGTCATTGGTCACCTTCTAGAGGTCAGTTGTGTCCTGCCATTTGATTGGTCGAGAATGTTTGATGCACCTAGATGTGAGTTAAAAGCAGCGATTTGATTGGTCGAGAATGTTTAATGCTCAGTTGTGTCCAGCGAGTTTGATTGGTCGATAATATTTGCTTCGCCTAGAGGTGAGTTGAAAACAGCGATTTGATTGGCTGAGAATGTTAAATGCGCCTAGAGGGGAGTTGTGTGGAAAGTTTGATTGGTCGAAAATATTTCACTCCCCCGTCAGCACAATTTAGGTCATCAGCTGTCCCGTCATTGGACACTCTGTAGAGATACTTTGTGTACCACATTTTGATTGGTTGTGAATGTTCATCAGCTTGCCTGTCATTGGTCACCTTCTAGACTTGAGTTGTGTGCGGTGATTTTGATTGGTCTAGAATGTTTCCCGCCCTCATCAACACAATGAACACATTACACCCTGACTCGCCCGGAATCGCCCGCTCCGACCTAGCGTCTTTAGAAACAAAGTCTCGCCTTGGCATGACTCTAGGGCTGAGATTTTGATGTACATAGTGTGCTTTTTCTTCTTCTCAATCGCATCACACTTGACGTCCGCTATCTGTCATACATTGGGCCGTCCTGCTCAGCTCATCTGTCGGCCCGTCGTATAGCTTCTCTTGTAGCGTCAGTGGGGTTGGCCACGTTTCCTGTCTCAGGGCCCTGTGTGTCTTGCAGTGCT